GATGGTCATGCTGCAATCCCTTCTCCTCCATTCTCCTCTTGGGATCTTGGGCACGCACGCACCCCGGCGTGAGTTTTAAGTCACCGGGACGTGAACCGCGGTCTACTACGTGGGAGTCCAGCGACATAGCCATTACACTAACTGCTGGTTCCCTCAAAGTCTGCTTTTATAATATTTTTATAGTATAAAACATTTCTTACAAACATAATCTTGGCAGGTTAATCAGATTAGTAAAACTAATACTTAAAGGTGAAATTGATTTGATCATATTTAGTCTTCTTGAGAAATTAGGATCACTAGTTTTCTATATAAATTTAATGAGAGAATAGGACAGAGCCTCTTTAAGAGGAGATAAATCATGCAGACACTGAAGTACAAAAATAAAAGTATTCATCTCCTAATCTGTGTCAGTTTTATAAAACTCACTTAAGCAATGACATGGAAATAATTAGTGTTTTCTACTATTTTGGAAAGGCAACCTCTTCCTCTTGAGAAGAAATTCAGTTTCATAAATATTATAAAACATAGCTGTCTTTGTTCACATGCATTTTTGGACATTCATGTTAAAAGATAGATTAATAGTTCAAAGTATTAATGAATACCAGTTGAAATGTAGTTCTCATGCAGTAAATGGGTTAAGATTATATGATTTTTTCCACTTGTAGTAGCATAAGAAAATGCACTAATAAATTAGATAGATACTCAGTACAGAAAAGAAGCCATGCAGTTCCCACAGATATACTTCTATTACTTTGAAAAATTTAGATTCAGGGTAACGGAACGAAGGGGACTCCCTCCCCCCCAACCCTGCTGACCTATTAATATCAGGCTGGAAGGAACTAGATGAATAATTTTAGCCTATATAGATTTATTCATTTCCATCTTTCTAGGTTACCCTAGAGTAATTCAAAACTATTAAGGTAGACCAATTATTCTGAATTTTTTTCCCCTTGTCTTCTATGAGAATAAACTGCTGGTTCAGAGCCCTACCTAAAGGAAAGGAAGTAAGCAATGCTTTAGAATTCATGGTACAATATGCACTGTGCCTCCTATAAGTGAAGCAAAATATGCACAAAAGAGGTAAAATTCCCACTTTCAAAGTAAGAAAAACCTAGGTTCCCAGAGATGAAGTACTTTGCCCAAGAACCCACAGATAAACATTTGAAATGTAAAATAGTTTCCCCTGGCCCAAAATTCCAGCTTCTCCTAAACTTAATAGTGTGGTACTACTGAATTTTATCATGTTTCGACTTTGAGGAATAAATGGTCCTCCCAGGCTTTACTCCTTTTTGATATTATCATCATTAACTCAGTGATTCCTATGGGATAGCTTACCACAGGCATGTTTATCATTGGAAGTATCTCAAGAGAAATCCCACACTACTGCTTTTGAGGGGACAAATATGATGATACTTTATACAGTTTAACCAAATGTACATCCAAATTATTTAATAACTACCTGCCATTTCTATGGCATTAAAAAGGACTATATTGGTTTGCAAAACAGCATCCCCCAAATACTAATATTAGAACTTAGTAGTAGGTGGAATTTTTTCTCTGCCATGCAGACGGGTGCTAAAACTCCAGAAATGCGCAGAACACAATGACTTCAGTATTTTCAACTGTATTGTGAGAAAAGGAAATACATTTTACATTTAGTAGTAGAGTTATCTACCCTTCAAATAAAAAGGCAAGATGAGTACTTTAGTGTCTTGTTTAATATGCATTTGTTCTAAATCATCCATGTCCCCTCTTTCTCCTTGACAATAAGGAGAAAACATTTGCTAATTTTTCCAGTAGATCAAAAATTATTTATATCAGTTGATATCTCCTCCCATCTCTCTTTCACTTGTATTTCTTATTATCGACCCAGAAATTATGTAACATACCCATTACATCCAAAGATACATACAATTTCAGGTCTATAACTAAATACACAGGCCTAAATGCCTTCATATAGACAAAATGGTATACAACCTTGAGGGATTCAAATATACATTATAATAAAAAAAGAATTTATGATATGCAACCTAGTAATACCTAAAGTGCACAATTTAATTATTACTGTGCTAACATTTCTGCTTCCAGATAGGATGGAGTTTATAAGCCAGGAGAAAACAGAAAATCTAGACAAAAGGTAACATATAAGCACTTTAAAGAGATCAGAACTGTTGAAACTAAAAGTATAGAAGGTAGAAGAGTCTGAAAATAAGAGAACTCTGGGGAGGTAAAGAAAGAATTGGCGGTTGATTTTTGCTGGTTCTGAGCTCTTAGAATCTGAGTCCAGATTTGGCTGGGAGAAAGCCCACGATGGGGGTTAGCAAATCCTGCATTGATTTGAGGACTCTTGAGGTATTAGAGAGACAAAAGGTAAATGTGTGAGATCTCAAACACTCAGCCCATTATCCCTAACAGATATTTGTCAAATTCTAAAGGTGCCAAAAAGCTAAACTGAAACCCCTGAAAAGCACCCTACATCTTTGGCAGTCTTGCAATTCCAAGAAGAACAATATTAAAAAATAATTTGTGTCCAAGACCTGCCAAGGAGAACTCACCAGGCAAGAGTTTGTCCATGGATTGAATCCAGCTCATCCCTTTATATATGACCCATAAACTCAAAATAGTTTTTGTACTTTTAAATGGTTGGGGGAAAAAAATAAAGGAAGAATAATATTTTGAGATATGAACATTTGCAAAGCTCCAATTTTTGTGCTCATAAAGCTTTATCAGAACATATCCATAACCTTTATATACGGACTTTGGCTGTTGTCACACAATGACAACAAAGACGATGACCTGGAAATCCTGAACTCTTACTACCTGGCCCTTTATAGGAAATTTTGAGCCTTCACTAAGCTGTTAGTTAAAAACTTTCAGAGGCAAATGCCCTAACAGGGGTAAATGAAACTCAACCAAACATCACATTGGCTCAGTTCTAAATTCATTAGGCTTAGTTCTACCAGCCTTGCAGAGGAAGAATACATCTTTGCTGGAGAAAGATATCATTTGGAGTCTCTACAATATTTTTTATACACATTTCAAACATGTTACAGTTTTCAGAATATATTAACTTTGATCTGAGCTGAACTAAGATATACATAAGGAAGCCCGACTTATCTGGCAAGCTCAATAACAATACATCAACATCCAACACCTTTAACAAACAATATTAATCTACGTTGTTCAAAGAAAAGAAAAATAAAACATAGCTAATAACATTACTTAAAGCACTTTTCTTGTCTAGAATAATAGCATTCTAAGTAACTAGATGTTAGCTTCCATTGTAGAACTTCCAATATGGAATAAAGTCTATGAATGATTTGTTTTGAAGCTGCCAAAAAGTTAAACAAACAGTAACTGACCAGCTGTAAATTACTCTGTGCTATAAACTGTCTCGTTGGATTCATTTTTCAATGGCACAATGTTCATAGGACAGTGGCATTATATATTACACCATCCAGAGAAGACTGACAAGCATAGGTGTGGGGAACACTGGTAATATTGAACTATTGTAATTATGCAATATGTTATGCCTACATTTCTCCCAGGATTTTAAAGTTTGACTTTAATAACTTTATAAAACAAAAGGAATAACTCAAAGGAACAAGACAGCTGAGGAATTCATTATGTCAGAACTGAAAAATTGTTAAATTCATTTTAATTAGGACATACTAAGGTTTTACATCTGTGGCATAAGTAAATTGTTACTTCCAGATATAGCAGATCAGGTCATTTTAATTTATAACCTATTATGTGTCTTATTGGTGTCAATGAAATATAACTCAATAGTATTTGAAAGGTCAGGTCACATTCTAATTTTATGAGATTCAACATATATCATCATATTATTATAGAGAAGGGATACAGATACAGTTATGAATATAAAATTAAATGTGACTATTAAAAATTGGAGATACATGCATACACACTCACACACACACATACACATATAGACTGCATTATCTATTTTGTAATTTAACTCTGTAGTGTACCTAGCCTGGAAACCCTTACAACATAGAAATGTGCAATATTATCTGGATGGATAATTATCTGAGAAAGCTAGAATTATAGTTAAAAATGAAAGGACTTTTAGAATTATAAACTTTAAAAGTTGACTTTTCAAAAAACTTTCTTTAAACTTTAAGTATTCTGTTATTTTCTTCACCTTCAAGAACTCCTCAATGACAGACACCTCTGAAGAGAGCTCTAATAATTTGATCAGATAAAAGCTGTGAATGTAGTCAAATAATAAATCACCATGAGAGTATGCTATTTACCATTTTGCTAAATTACAAGTGCTCTTTTACCATTTCACTCACTATTTTTGAAAATTACAAGCCTCAATTAACAGACTTCACCTATATAGTTTACTAATTTTACAAAAAGGTTTGTATTCCTCTTGTCCTCAAAATTATTTTTTTTTAATTTCACATACATGAAAGTAGTCCATTTATAAGCAGGTAAATATTGTTATATTGAGAACTGGAACATATTCAGGACAATCCAAGATATTCATGAAACTAGTGATTTTGTTGAGATGTTTAATGGAAGAAAGGTATATGTCTTTATATTACTGATTCCTTACTAACCGGCAGAACGCTATGCCTCTGAACACAAAATCAAATATTACTTACAGTTCTACAATACTGTTTTTCTATGCATTCTATCTGATTCTAATTAAAACATCAAAGTCTTCAGAAAGACATATTGCAAACAAAAAGTTCTTAGTAGGTGGCAGAAAGTCAGGCCAGGAGTCAAAGAGAACCAACAGAGATGACAGAGATGTGATATTCAGCACAGTCTCCTCAGAAAGAAAAAGCAAAACCACATGGCCCTGCTGAAATGCCGAGTTAATTCTCTCTCCTAGCTGAGCATTAAACATTACATCTTTAAAAATCTTTTCAACTAGAGCATTGCTTCTTTAGGCAAGATCCTCTTGTAAGAAACATAAACGCTCTCAAAGTGCACTGCTGAAACACCATAAAAACTTAATAACCTACCATTTTCTTTGCACTCTTCTGGAGGTTTAGCCTTTTTCGCAAGTCGTGGATCCAGCCATGATGTTGTCTTTGTGTTATGGCTGAAAAGAAAAGAGATCACTCTGAACAGACACATACTAAAAGGAATCAAGTTTATTCCTTATGAAAAAAAAGCGGGGTTAGTCCAACAAAATTGCAATCGATACACTTAATTTGCTTACTGGTTCTAAGTAGCCCTGAAGGAGGTGTAAGAGTAATTGTGCAAGGCAGCTGTAAATTTGGCAACCTCAGCTCCCTGTCCTCAAAGCAGCTATTTTTATTAAAATCAACTAGAATGTTGCCAAGTTAACCTCATTGAAAATGCAGAACTCATCCAGAGCAAAAGGAATTTATTACAAATACAGGATTCTCCAGTTGGAAGAGCAGAGTCCGCAGGCTCTGATACTGTTTCTGAGTTTTGCAAAAGAATTATTTTCATCTTAAAGCTGCCCTTTTCATAAACAGTTGTTTTGTTACTCTTTAACTACAGAGCTGGCAGAGGCAGTACAAAAGTGATGCAAATTACAGCATGTTCTTGGGATTCCTACACTTTCTCAAAAAGTGATTAATAGCAATTTCATTAACACATTCAGCTAGCTTCCACCTAAATACTTTCAGCTGGGTTAAAAAGGCAGCGATTTTTTAAAAAATGTATACATTCTACAGTTTTGGGAATGGAATTTCCAGGAATTCATGATACAATACAATTTTTATTTGAAAAAAAATGTTTTCTTCTAAGTCATCTTCCAGAAATGTAAAGAGCAAAGGAAAGATATTCTTACAGCAATGTTTTAAAAAGTGGTTCTGGAACAACCTGCGTTGGAATCCCCTGGTGGACATATTAACAAGGCATATTCTTCACAGAACTACCAACTTGGAATCTTAGAGGTGGGGCTACACCTTCCCCATCACTGGCAAGCTCTCCGGGTGAGTCTCATGCACATTATAATTCAAGAGCTGCTCAATGGTTCATAACTGCTCATTGGAGCTAAAATATTTACTGTGTACAGCTGTCTCAAGGGATCTCATCTACCAAGGGACAAATTATCAAGAATGTGACATTTGTGACGGCTTCAGGAAAAGACTGACCAAAGTGACAGGTGTGGGAAAGAATGTGGTTTATATAGGAAACAGTCAGAAGGCTGATGAATGGAACATAAAAGGGAAGAATAGAAAATAGTTTGAAAGTGAAATTAGGTCCCAATAATAAGGATACTTGTTAACTACTGTAAGGAGGTCAAGTGATAATGACATAAAGTTTACATGCGTTTCCTTTCTTAAATGAAATCTGACTCTTTTGTTATCATATTGGAACCACAAACGTTAGCTAAATAATCTGATGAATCGATCTATACTGGAAATAAGTCAGAAAATTCTTCCACGTAGTAAATTTACTAGCAAGCTTATAGAGACCAAATTCCCTCAAATTAAGGGAATTTCAAGCCAGAAAGGAGAATAATAAATCCAAGATGGTGATGAAAAGCCAGTCCAAGTTGTAAAAGCACTCTTCAAATAGCATTTAAAAAAATAAGTTAATTTTATTTAGAGGCAAAGAGAGAAAAAGAGAGACAGAAAGTGAGAAAACAAGCCACCAGGTTACGAACTTGAATGGCGGTTGGCCATGTGCGAGTTCAGCACCTTAACACCATGTCTCTGGCTGGCCCCTTCAATTAGCATTTTCTGGAAGATCGCCTCATTTTCCTATGTGTGGGGCCATCTCTGACTTGAGAACTAAGACAGTAGGACCTTGGGGTCACAAAGTTTCTGCTCTTGAAGAGGATTCCCTTTTATTTCCAACTTTCATGTAGGGGTAAAAAGAAAACACTCTGCTTCACTTTCTTCACCTTTAAGAACTCAATGAAGGATGCCTCTGAACAGCACTCTAATAATCTGATCAGATAAAGGCTGTGAATTTGATCAAATAATAAATCATCAGGAGAGCATGCCAGATTTTATTTTCCTTCAATTTAACCTTTGTAAAGTCTGATAGTGCTTCATTTTCAAGTTTCAGAAAGATATAAAGTATTGCAGACACTTTCATTTGGTTCAGGCTCCCGTTCATATGTCAATATAATCTAGTCTTTTTCTTTGAACTGAACACTTGAAGTCCAAATGGGGGTCTGACTTTCTGGAATATGAGCACAGGGTCCTCGGGTTCAGCATCTGGTATTCTCATTTTAGAAAAAAAAAAAATTACTTTAAAAATGCTCTTTACAAACATGCCTCAGTTCAAATTCTGAGTGTGTGTGTGTGTTGGTGTCTATGTTCTAGGAGATTTGGATAAGAAAAATAAATTTCTCTTCTTTTTGCTTCTTCTAAATCTTTTCACCATTTTAGAGAAAAGTCATTTCTAGGTCTCTTAGACACATTCACAAAAGCTAATACATCCATGGGTAAGTACTCAGGGACCATTAGGAAACCACTGCAGGGAATCAAATTACTATTTCAATACCATACCACCATGGGCCTCTAATACTGGCTAATTTAGTAGAGAACTGTGAGTTTCCTAGCTTTCTTGAGTTTATATGCAGTATTTCAGTACAGGATTCTATTTTTTTTTTCTTTTAGGTTGAACTAGCATTAACAGTGTGTCACTTTAATACATTTTGACAGATTGAGTCTCTTATAGTTAACAGCATTTTTGGCTGATCTTCAGAAGTGATTCTGAAAGACATGAGGGTAGTAGTTACCTCCAGTAATTGTCTTAAATACTACATGAAGATACAACACAGCATTTTTCAATAGTGGCTCTCACCAGCCTTATAATCTGCATGTTCCAGGGTGCTTTACAAAGGGAATATTTTAATGTATTTAGGAGACAACAGAGAAAGAGACTTTTCCATATCCCTAAAATCCTATATTTTTAAACCTTAATAATTCCATTTGAGGAAAGGATTAAATGATGGGCAGGAAACTGTGCACAAAATGGAAATACTGAGGGATTTTTCACAATCTGGATACTACCTTTCCTCAAATCTGAGGAGATAATGTCCTTTCACTTTCTCAGCTAGGGTAGATCCAGATGCATAACATTAGTTTTCTGTCTCACTCAAATGCTAGGAAAAGAAAATATTAATGCTATGCAATCTTTTATATAAGTATATATATATATACACACACATATATATATACATATAAATATACATATATATGTATACAATAAATATACATATATGTGTGTGTGTGTGTGTGTATTTCAATTAATGTTTCCTTAACAGAGAAATATACATATATATCAGCTTCATGTATCAAGGAACTTTTCTTATTTTATCTGGGGAACAGAATAAATCTTTTCTAGTACGTTGAATCACAATATTTTGCTTTATGTGTACCTGTGGATAAAGCTAATGTGATATAAAATGCAACCTCAAGAAAAGTCAGTCATTAAGTTCAGCCAATGCCATATTAAAAATGCAAATGAAAACCTGGGGAAAAAAAGATTCTATCATATAGACACAGCCAAAATACTTATCTGATATTAATTATATACTGAGTCTATCTGGCAGACAAGAATAAACCAAGAGTGAAATTTCATTCAACTCTGTAATTCTACTTTAAATCCATATCAGGATGACCTTGACGATATGTGATAGGCTGATCTTTAATGAATCAGAATTTGCTGTACATTTAGTAAGCTTAACCTTTGACAAGCTAACAAAAGCAGCAGGATAAATAATCACATCTAATCTAAGGAAACACTCTTCTCACATAAAATATGCTCTGTTATAGAGGAAAAGTTAGTGACAGGACAGTGCACTGCTGCAAGGGGATTCTCGCTGTCTTCTAACATGTGTTGATTGCTTACCGTGTCAGGGCTGTGGCAGAACTTTATGCTAGGGAAGCATGGCTAAGGGCTATTAGCTCCATTTTACAGGTTGAGAAACAAAGGTTGAAAGAAGCTCAATGACTTGCCTAAGGTTACACAGCTAGTGCATGACAGTGAAAAGGCTAGCATTATACCCAGTTAGATCTGATTCCCAAATCAGAGGTTTTCTATGGTTTGAAACCAAAGATGTAGGAACCTAACACTTTGGATTTTATTCTGGGGTGCTTTATTTCACTCTCTCACATGGTAATCAGTGGTCTGGTTCCTAGCTCCTGCCCATTAGTTTAGAAAGAAACTCTACCAGTTAGTAATCACTACTGAAATTCCTCTGCTAAGCATTGAATGCCTTATGTTTATTAGGCATTCTACTGAACTGCATGTGTGTAGAGAAGAAAGAGGAGTCTTGAGATTGAGGAGGTATTAATAATATTACTGAATTACTGAATATACATTCTCTCCTTATAAACTGAAATTCTCTATTTAAATACTTTCAAATCAAAGTTTCTTCATTCAGATCTGAATACTTTTTCCAGAATAAAGATTTATAGAAATCTTTATTTAGAAACCTGATTCATATCACCTAAATATGACTATGAAGTCTTCCAAGCTATACTAAAGAATTAGTTCAATAAAATGTTGTTAATGGGTAGAGTACATATTAGGAGCAAAACTTAAGTTTTACTTATAGATCATGCCATAACAGCATCCTTCCTTTCCATTTCTCATTCGCTCTACTGTGTTTCCAATCATGGCACAAACCCCTTTTCAGTTTTTTATGAACACATAACTGGATCCTCAATGGTGACCCAATTTAAACCTAGTTTTAATATGTTCTTTTTCTCTTTTATTTCTGTTTCCTTTTCTTTTCTTCTTTCCCTTTATTGCCACCTGGATCAAAACAATGTTTCTACTATTGTATACATATTAGAGTCTTTCCTTCCACTGACTGATATTTTATCAGTGGAACAAGAAATGTTTTTTATTGAGTGCATTCCTTTCCTTTGCTCTATTTTTCTCTAACAATAGTAACTGACTTAAAACAATGACAAATAAGTCCTTCTAAACAGCCAATTTGGATTCTCATTTCAGTCTCTAATGGATAAATGGTATTTTTATTCCTGAAAAACATTATACCAGGAGAAAAATAAGAAATTGAACTCAATGACATTTGAGTGCATGAAACAGTCTTTTGAACAAGGTGAACAAGATCCAGGTAAATATTTCAGAGTCAATAGC